TTAGAATCGATTCCTTGCGATGAAAGCAAGAATGACAACTGTATCAAAACCGAATACTTCATCATTTCTCAATAGTGATGAAGTAATACGACATGCACTAAACTAAGGACACGGGATATACTACAGTAGATCAAATTACTGGTCGCAGTAGTAGTAATCTTTTCGCAGAAATATTCCTATACGGCAATGAACATGACATGATGGTGCGGGCATATGTTTTTTTTTTATGGTAAGGGATTTTTCACCAGCAACCAAAGCGCGAACTGGGTCAAAACCAACTACCGATGAATCGAAATCCAATGACGGAGCATGATTAGCAGGGTTGCTTTTACGGGCAAAAGATTTACTGATTCCAGTCTTTGAAAGATCCTTTTGAGCACTTTGAACATAATTTCCCAATGAATCAATCGCAATTTTGCGGGATTAATCATATACACAAAAATTACTACACGCTGTGGGCAAGCGCGAAAAGAAGCAATGACGCTTTCGGACAGGTGGTGTAACAGATAACAACAACGAAGAGGCATGGTTGCCATCAATTTAATTTATTTAAATTTAGAAAATAAATCGATTTCCATATTTTTCGAACATATAAAAGCAGTATTATAAACATTAAACGTTTAATCACGTTTGCGTTCATAATGGTAGCGTTCATTTTAAATAGGTCGTATGTGCTTTCGTTGGTTAAGAGAGTCACAGTTTCTTTTCCTCCACATAAGCGGTTTCTTTTCCGCCACATAAGCGGTGCTTTGATCGGTTTAATCATTAATGGAATCATAAGCTGGCTAAATATTGTGGAAACCTCAAAACAGTTTAATGGCAAATTCGGTTTTACTACCTGTCTTCATACAGGAAAAGCTACAATAATCAACAATCCAAAGCTATCCCTACCAACAATTCAAACTTAGAGATAATCAGGCCACAAGAAAACTCATGTTGCAAGTTCATAATTCAGAAACGAAGGAACCTGTTCTTGGAATCCAGGGCTTAAGCGTTCTTACTGGAATTCCAGATTTTGACATTATCAAAGGGTTACCGCCAGATTACATGCATTTGGTTAAGTTGGGTCTTATAAAGCTAATATGGGGACTATTTCTAGAAGGTGACGCTGAGAACAAATCGAAAGAATATAACATCGGAAATTACAAACCGTTGATAGAACAAAGAGCACAGGCTATACGACTACTTTCAATTTTGAAGTAGACCAATCTACATTGATCGAGTATCTTCGTTTTAATATTGTAAAAACCATTTTCCTGTACATTTTTAGTTTTTTTTTTATTATTATCAAGAATTAATAAATTCCTCCGCACTTACTAAGCCATTAACGAAGTTGTTCAACCTTTCACTGCAGCAAGGTGAACTCATTAGGAGTTGGAAATCCTCCTTTATGTTCCCAGTATTCAAGAAAGGAGAAAAGCGCAAAATTGAAAACTATCGCGGAATCACTTCACTTTGTGCCTGGTCTAAAGTGTTTGAAATAATCATTAATGACGCCCTATTTGCAAGCTGCTGTAGCTATGTTTCTCCGGACCAGCATGGGTTCTACTCTAAGAGATCTGTCTCTACAAATCTAGCACCATTCGTATCCTCCTGCCTTCGGAATATGGAAGCAGGGGCACAAACAGATGTCGTCTATACGGATTTGAAAGCTGCTTTTGATCGAGTTGATCATGCTATCCTGCTAGCTAAACTGGATAAGCTTGGTGTGTCACAGGGCTTCATTCGTTGGTTCAAGTCTTACTTGACAAATCGAGAACTCTGCGTGAAAATCGGAGCAGCACAATCAAACTCTTTCACCAATACATCCGGTGTCCCTCAAAGCAGCAACTTAGGACCGTTGCTATTTTCAATCTTCATTAACGAGGTTGGATTGATTATTCCGGCTGGCTGTCTCTCTTTCTATGCAGATGATGTTAAGATTTATGTTGTAGTTCGAAGCCTTACTGACTGTTTACAGTTACAGCATATGATCGAAGACTTTGAGGGTTTGTGTTCCAGGAACTTCGTCACGCTGAGTATTCAAAATGCAGCATCATCTCTTTTCATCGCAAGCAGAAGCCAATCAAGTTCAACTATACAATCAACAATGAACCTTTGCAACGTGTGAGCAGTATCCGCGATCTAGGAATTACGCTTGATCCTGGAATTACATTCAAGCTGCATTATTCTGAAATCATCGCTAAAGCTAATAGACACCTCGCGTTTATCTTCAAGATTGCTGATGAATTCCGTGATCCAACATGCCTGAAAGCACTGTACTGTTCTTTCGTGCGTTCAATATTGGAATTTGGAGATGTCATCTGGTGCCCATACCAAGCGATTTGGATAGCGAGAATCGAATCCGTTCAGAAAAAAATCGTACGTTATGCATTACGCCACCTCCCATGGAACGATCCTGTCAATCTTCCACCATACGAACATCACTGCCAACTTTTGGGCCTTGATACATTAGAACGTAGACGCACTATCGCTCAGGCAGTTTTCGGTGCTAAGGTATTTTTGGGCGGTATCGACTCTCCAAGTATGCTAGGAGAATTAGAAATTTATGCTCCTGAACGATCATTGCGGACAAGGAATTTCTTACATCTTGGGGCGCGTGCAACAAATTATGGCCTGCATTATCCAATAAGATTCATGTCTGCTAGTTTTAACAGCTTCTACGAATACTTCGATTTCAACATTTCTGCGGCTGCGTTTCGTAACCGAATTCAACGAAGTCTGCACGAGGGATGAAATCTACTGAAAATTGGAATAATTCGACGTGCAATGATGGGCAAAATTACATTTTGCAACAGGTGAGTAACATTATAATGCTCTCACAGCTTAATAAATGTGCTACTTGAATCTTTTTTGTTTCATGTTCTTTGTATTTTACTTGACGACGAGGTTTGCTTCCAACGATGGACCATGTCAATTACACATTTTATGCTTCTGACGGCTGCTGACATCATGTTTGTTAAATGTTATGTTAGTAATTTTGTATTTTGTATCGTGTATTGTGGAAAGATGTGGGATTTTTACGCCATTTCGGCTTTTCCCCATCAAATTATCAAATTTCATTAAGAAAACACAAAGTCAGATGAGAAATATTAAATAAATAAATAAATAATACGATCGCGTATCGTTTAATATGATACTGTAAATCTTACGTGTTTAGTTTGTGGATTATGCGTGCAATCTTTTGAATCTAAAATCAATTATTTCATCTCCATCATGTGTCTCAAATCTACAGTTGTGCGAAACATATCCATTTCATGTGTGAATCTTATGCTATGAGCCATTCCTGAACGTGATTTTTCAACATTTCAAAGTTCGAAGCACTGTAAATCAACGTGCACAACACATTGAACCTATGCACAGCACACTTAAAATCAATGTGAATGTGCACTTGAATGCCAAGAGTTTAAACAATAGATAAGACTTGTGGATTTGAGGACTGTGTACTCTTTGGGCCTCGGAGAGCCTAGTAAGAAAAGGCACGGTACTACCAAGCCGGAGGCGGCGGGTCGATTCAAGGTCCGGTGTTGCCTCATGTTTTTGCAGGTTTTTTTCAATTTTCTCTTGGAAAAAAATCCCGAATATGAGGAAAGTAATTATTGGATTCTCTGAGTCTATTATTACTTCTCCTAGTCTGAGAAAAATTGTCGTCAATTTTCCTCGTTTTCTGGCAGACTTTTTAGGTTTTCCACAGTGATGTATCCCTAGGTTTATTGCTGGCTTGAAAGACAAGACATGTCAACTATTTTCATAAGTAGCCATAATCATTATAGCAAATAAGGTTGTACGCAGTACGAGCTGTGCTCTCGTCCTCTTTGCCTACCGACCACCGAAGTGAACAGACATAGTGTAACCAAGTGTAATATCAAATAAAGTAGTTAGTTAGTGTTTCTTAATAAAAGCGTGCAATTATTACCTCAAGTCACAACACACAGAAGAACATGAGGCAAATTTACTTACCGCTGAGTTCCTGCACTTTTGGTGATTATGAACATGCTTGGCAGGCACAGTTGTACACACCAACTGCTCATTTGTTAATAACTTTTCACTCAGTTGTTGTAATTTGCTTTTCTTTAAAGTAATTGATAGATTAGGATCATAGTTTACCATATATATATGCAAAGAGTACACACTTCAAAAATCCTAATTTACACGTGACGGAATCCATCTTTGACATAAATGATGACACGTAAACAAACATGTCATGTAAAATTAAGTGCTCCGAGAATGAAAAGTTTATAACTCGATGAAACGACGTTATACTCGACGAAACGTACGTTTGATTGAACTGAATTTCACGTCTATCATGACTTAATTTTATGTCAAAATTGACGCTCGTATATGTCAGTCTCAGAACACCTAAATTTACATGAATTTTTCTAAGTGTGTAGGTTAATCTTAATATTTGAATCAACATCAATGAACAAGCTTAAACTCTATTTTATCTACTGCTTCAAAAAGTATTATGTTTCGTCAACTGTGTGCAAAGTTATTAGCAAATGAGCAGTTCGTTACCAAAACTGTGTATGCCATGCATGATTATGAGTGAACTAAACTCAAATTGGCCGTGTAGAACGCTATGTTGAGAACCGGTAAAACGCTCGCTAAAGTAGCAAAAAAAGCCTAGAAGAAGGAGAAGACGACGCTTTATGATAATCACAGCTTCCGATAAATCTCTAGAAAAATTTCCTCTTTTATTATATAGTCACAATTGTAAGATTCCTATAAAATAATTTAAAACATAATTGTCAGCATCATGAAACTGATTGCACATCGTTGAACCCCCCTTGGAATGCTGAGCGAGCCCGCGAGCGAAGCTCGCTCTTCAAGAGTACATATCTAATCTACACAACACCACAAGCCAAGCAAGCAAGCAAGTCAACGACGACGACGACGACGACCAGCGAGACAGACAGCTCCCCATACTGAATCAGTTCTGCTGAAGAAACCGGTTTGTGAACACGCACCTCTCATCGCGATCGTCCGTCTCCTGGCTGTGGTAAATTTTTTCTCACTCTCATCGCATCGGGAGCTTCCTCTCCCGGATTTCTGCTGTGCGGTCGGTCTGCGGCGATGGTGGTGTGCCACTTCCCGATCTCGACGCAACCCCTAGAGGAGAAGATCACCTCACGCGGGAGCAGCACTTGATCTTGGTCGGTCGGTCGTTCGGTTGGTTGGTTGATGTCGCCGAGCATCAGCATAGTCGGCGTCGTCGTCGTCTTCGTCGTCGCGGTTAGGTTTAAGTTGCGCTTCAAGTGAAAATAAGTGAATAATTGAATGGATTTGAAAAGGAAGTGATTGTGTTGGGCCGCGCGGTCGATTGAGCTGATTCGCTGAAGTGGTGTACGGAGAAGAAAGTCGTGGGTATGCATTTTGCGACCATGATAATCCGGCTGCTAAATATACCGGTTCTGGTTCGGTCCTGACGGCCGATGACGACAAACACCGCCGCCGAAGTGTGACACTTATCGAAAGACGATAATCAAAACTCGGTCAGAGCTTGGAGGTTTTTCGGGAACGGGAGAACCCGCGCGTGTTGGTGAGATAAGGTCGCGTCAGGTGCGTTTCGACTCACCGACAAAAAAGAAGAAAAAAAGGAAAAAAAAGTTTGGCATTGAGAGGTGACTAAATCCCAAAAATTGTTATCTGAGGGCCGTGGAAATCGTCTGGTTTAGGTGCTTTATTTTGGTGTCAGTGCGCAGTTTCAGTACCCGTGCAGCGAAAGACGCAATGCGCAGCTAAAATTAAGTGCGGCATTGGAAATCAGAAGCGAAAAAAAAAAGCGCACATCGAATAGGAGTGACCATAATTGTTATTATATTACCGCGAGCTGCAGCACTGTTCGCTCGAAGCACCGATTAGGCGGAATATGAGCCATGGAAAAACCGGCATCCACTGTGAGGTATTTCCAGCACTGAGCAATGCAGGAGGTAAGTGTTTCAGTCTCACTTACGTGGCCTCGTTAAAAGAGATGCTGGGAGTTTAGTGTATTATGAGATCGTTATGAGAGCGACTTAGAATTAGTAGACTAATTGACAGTCACACTTGTCGGAACCACTGCACTGTGCACTGTGATTGCCAGTTGTAAGAAATCGTAACAGTAAGGGAACGTGGGGTAATAATAGAGATAAGGAAATGATGGATTTGCATTACTTAATGATCGTTTTGGTGCATTCATTAGTCTAATAAATCTTCTTGATGCTACCGGAAAGACCGTATGAAAATATGCTTTTATCGTCGGGAATATGATTTTACAAAACATCTACGCAAAACAGCAGCATTTTTGTTTTTAGATTGTATTTTATGCACAATTATAAGGTTCAGCTTTTCATAAACCTCGTCTAACAATTGATAAGGGCCTATCAGCTTGTATAAAGAATATCTTTTAAGTCCATTCCTTGTAAAGTGTACACTCAAAAAAGTTCACACGTCAGATTGAAGTGTTTAAACCAGTGCTGATAACAATCATTTCTTCTATACTCAACTTAGCTGAAAATAAAGACAACCTTAACAGATAGATCAACTACCTGCATGAATTTGAATTTTGATTTATAAGCATTCTCTTGATCATGGCAACCTCTGAGTATCGAAGTCAACGTTTGTTTTTCTTCATTCGTGGCTGGATGTTCATTATCGCTTCTGTTGTTGTCAATATTAATATTCGTCTTCATCTTGGTGGGGATGATTTTGAGGATCAAATGCAAAATGATTATTTTCATTATACACAACCATAGCGCTGAAGAAAGTGTCATGTTGGATTTTACACACAGATCGGTGGAAAATGATTTACTTATGCTGAATTGATGATAATATCGAGGTTTTAGGCTCTGGGGCCGAAAATATTCAATATAATCATTTTGCTTTTGTTTATTTATAATGAACTCGTTTGTTCATTTCGCTCGTGAGTCACAGCGAAGCTTTTCAAAACAAACGCAATTCATATACAATGGGTTGTAGCGCTACTCGTTGCGTGTAATGCTACACAGAAAAAAAATCTTAATTTTATCCACAGACAACCAGACATAATACACTGAATATTTCTCACTGTAAACATCGTCGCTAAAACATTACCGCCATCTGTTTATTTATTTATTTATTCATATAAGTCATCTGGCAAATTGTCTTAATGAATAAACTATTCGTCTTAAATAAGTTTCAGTCTTCTTACTCTACACCTCAAATTGAGGTGTGGACATACCAAAATCAAACGCGGACTCGACGGATACAAACACACGAACCATTGCACAAATATTTATGCTGGTTGTAGCCAAAGAGAGTACGATGAAAGCTCGGTTGCATCAGGGATTGCTGACGTTAAATCCTACTTGAAGCACGGAAATCAAGCAGTGATAGAAGATGAGAGCAATCGACGTCACCGTTGAGTAATTTAGCTATAACCGTAGCCTGTTGTAGCTTACGTCTTCGATCAAGCATTTCGAGGTCAAGCAGACGGCATCTATCGGGATATGTTGGAAGGTTCAAAGGATCACGCCACGGTAGGTTTCTGAGCGCAAGTCGTATGCATATTTTTTGCACACGCTCGATTCTTAGATTCCATGATGAGTCGTTTGGAGCCCATACAACTGAAGCATTTTCTAGGATCGGCCTTACGAGTGAACAATACAATGCTTTTAGACAGTGTGAATCCGTGAAATCCTTGGCAATCTTAGAGATGAAGCCAAGTTGACGATTAACGTTGGAAATAATCGACGCCTGATGGGAATGAAAGGAAAGCTTCGAGTCCAATACGACACCAAGATCCGTAACTTGATCCACTCTAATAAAAACAGTATCATCGATGTTGTATTCATAAATTAACGGGTCTTTGGACCGATAGAAGGTCATCACATGACATTGCGCGACGCTGATGACAAGCTTGGCACCGGACGTGCTAGCAAATGGCGATGAAACATAAGATCCGTGTTTAACGTACAGCGTTCTGCCAGTCAAGTACGATGACAACCACGACACCAATCGATTTGAGGCTCCCAATCGTGATAGCTTGCAGAGCAACACTTTACGATCAATTTTGCCAAAAGCCGCCTTTAGGTCCGAATAAATTACGTCGACCTGCGCTTTATCTTCCATAGCCTAAAAACAGGTAGTAGTTACATCCAGCAAGTTAGTAGCAACAGACCTACCGGGAATAAATCCATGTTGATCTGGCGAAATGTGGTTTTTTGTAGCGCGTAGAATTTGATCACTGACGATAATCTCGAGAAGCTTCCATGCGGCCGAAAGGCTGGTCGTCGTCGGTCACCACTTTTGTGCACAGGAAACATGTACGATAATTTCCATCTCATGGGAACTTCACCTAGCTCAAACGAACGGTTGAAAATGAAGGCTAGCGGCTCAGCTACTGCGGCTGCACAGTGACGGAAAATCAAGCGTGTTGAGTACACTGTGGTAGGTAGTACGCTGAACAGATGGCGGTAGTGTGTAAACGTCAAACGCAAGGGAATTGACTATGAGCGCCACAGGTGGCGGTACTACCATCTACAATACTTTTAAATTTATCGTTAAATGCTTGGTCGATGAACAACTTTTGACTGTTATGTCTGTTTGTCTGTGTTTTAAATATCGCGTAAACTCTGCCATCGTTTAATGATGAGCTCTAGCGTAAATTTAATTTTAAATGGTAAAAACCCATATTGATCCACCGGGCAGGTGAACAGAACCTTTGTTACCCAGTATAATCTCGTTTTTGATATTATCCATAGATAGATGAGGCCTTAATGGATATTTTTATTTTTATTGGTCTCAGTTTCTGCACTGCTCAATTGAACAGCAATGGCTAGTTTGGATTGGAGTCCAAATCATAATTCAATAATCAATTGATTTATGTCTTCACGTTAATTTCCTAAAATGACAATATTTTTAAGATATAATTGTGGCTGATATGAGTCTTACGTAGTGCCCGACTGCAAATGAATTTCCCAATCAGTGTGTTGATTCAGGCGCAAGCTAACTGTAGTCGCTATATTTATAGTCTGGCGGATAGAATTTCGATCTATCAAAAAGCGGATCTAATTCAATATATTGTAGACAAACAATTGAAATGCTACTATCAAGTATTATAAACAAACCGTTGATTATTCTTTCCTCGCCAATCGAACGCAAATTACCGGCATCATCGGATAGAGGAAATTTTCCCCAAAGATGGTGCTAGTTTGCGTAGGCGTGCCTTCAGTCACGAGAAAACGGGTTCCGAAAGTTTTGTTCGCAATAGCTGATGTGCTCTTTTCTGTTGTTGGTCGTGATTTGACAGCTCAATTGGTCAAACAGCTATTTGACAGCTCAATTGGTTCCCGAGATTCTCGAACTGTCCTGTGAGCTTAGCGAGAAATTCGTTTATGTTGCCGAGGATAGGCCCTTTTCAAATGTTACGCGAGAATACAGAATTAAATCTAGATAAACATTTCAAAAGGTCCTATCTGCATTGATCAATTCTCTTCATCGACTTTGACTTTCGTCAATAACGCAGTTGCGAAACCTTTCCCTGTTGTGGGATTACATTGCAGAGATCGAAGTGTGCGGTGTTCGAAGACGGACGTGATTTTTTTTTCTTGTCAAAATATTGGTTTTGTTCCGTTTTTTCGTGTTTCGGGTAGTTTCGGTTGGATTTAAGTACGATTTTACACAGAAAGTTTTCAAGAATCACCAATGACGAAGACAGGTCTGCAAAATCTGGAAAATTTTGAAACTGGCTAGAAACCCAACCCAATGGAATCCCATGAATTTACCATAAAGGAATTCAAATAGAGCAAGAAGCAGCTTTGAACATCACAAAATTGGTGAAAGCTATTTATTTTTATTTATATAAACACTCACACAGACACTTACACGTACGCACATACACATTTACTTTATGTTGACACATAAATATAACATAACCAATGATATCGTAAATCTGCCAGTAACGTTTACCGAACGTATGGCCTTACCCTCCCCACTAAGAAACCTCCAAACTTCTGTGACACTTATGAGCGGTCGTAGAGTTCTGTGCATCTCTCTTAAGTAAGTGTCCAACTAAAAATCCTTCCCATCCCCAACAGTTGCAAGGACGTGGCCAGGACAGTTCTCGATTATTGGAAATACTGCTACTTTCATCTAAGAGGTCGAGATCAATCCCATATCTCGGTCGATACGGTAACGGACGGAGGTGGCAGTACTCACATAAAATGTTCTACGACTTATACCACCTACGAATTTTTGCAACTTGCTTAATGCTAATGCTAATGTAAAACCTTTCCAGCAGATTATTGAGGCTTTTATTTGAATTGATCTCATCGGTCGTGCACAAATTTGAAGGGACAACATCTGACTGGTCTTATAGAGCTTTTAGACGTCTAATCGGCGCACACTACACAGAAATTCAAAACAACCCAAAATTAAGTTCTTTTCACTTATCTCCCATGCTCCGTACAGTAAGCCAAATTTGGGTAAACCGGCTCAAAGTAGTTTTCATTTAAGCACGGCTAAAAAAAATTACCCATCGCTAAGTTATTTTCAATTTTTTCTACCCAAAATTAAGTTCAATTAACTCAAATTTGGGTATATCGCATATTACTCAATTTTGGCTTCTCGTACAGAACTAGACGGTTGAGTCGAATCTTTCGTTCTATTTTTGACAACAATAGCGAGAGAAAATGAAACGGGCAGAGGTCAAATAACTCAAATTTGAGTTCAAAAAACCCAAGCGGTGGGTAGTTTTGTTTTTCTGTGACTGTACCTTTAAAACCCAACGAGTGCGAGCAAGAGGGAAACACATTAGTGCGAAAATACACCGTCGATTCATACATGTGTGATAGATAGAGAAAGACGATTAAGCATTGAAAAGGTCTATTGGAATACGTACACGGTAAGAAAAAAGTACTCAAAAGTAAGTTCTTTTCACTCATCTCGGCACTATAGTGCAGGAACCCAAAAG